AATAAATTCATGACCACAGAGAAGGACTTGCATCAAAGTTCAACGTGACCCAATAAGTGTTACAATTTATTGCCGCATTTGACTTAATGAAACACATGAATATAACTTTTCTTTATAATATTACGAGAGTGACAAACGAGATACACTTGGTAGTAATTTCTATCCTTAAAAGTACATTTTAGATGCGTTGTCACCACTGAGGAGTCTGGTAGATTGCACATGGTAATCATACTTGCTCTCTAATTTTTCAAACAGAAATAACAGTGTGTATGCTAATTGAGGGTAGATATAGGGTAAGATAGTGGTATCTACCCAGATGGACTCTTGTCCATCTGGGTAGATTGGTGGAGAAAAATCGTGCAATATCTTCAAATCCATTATTCATCCATCCATGCATTACAGCCTATGAAAGTCCACTGCTGAACAAAGATCTCCACAAAGGTTATAATTTTAAGTTGTTATCGGGAAGATGCTGCCGCTCATCTCCTGTTTCAATTTCCCTTTATCGCCACTTACGGCAACCACGGGACTATTTCTTGTAGTGGAAATTCTTACACCTCCACTACAAGGTAATCTACTAATAAAAGCGCACAATTAAGCTTGCTTATACCACTTTAGTGTGATAACACCTTAATGCAATTTCATAAACTGTTTGACTAAATACATTTTAGAATAAATTATATACACCATTCGTTTTAATTACAAAGTTAATAGTTTAGTTGCAGCTAACGACCTTGTGCACAGAATACTTTTACTCCTAGCGGAGAACCTTGTGATGCATTGTTTGCGACTGTTTGGTACTTTTTTTTAATAATTTGCTTTACGGCTCTGGGTTTTAGCCCTTCTGAGCCTGAAGTTAAAATGTATAATTATCCTTCATAGTACACTACTTCACAATATGTTGATGCGTCATATTGTGCAGCCCTTGGGAGATTTTGACGGCAACTTGAGCCAGCAGACAGCTGACAGTTGATGATGGTATCTCAAGGTGTCAGACACCTTATATTTAGAATCACATCACCATCACAGCACTTGTTTCACAGTTTCCACTAATAGTTCACATGCGTAGACACTTAATACACAAAATCGCACCACTTTCACGTTTCAAATTCCACTTCAAACCATTATTTAAACAATACAGGAGCAGCAATCCGTCGCCAGTCAAATTCCCGCCAAAACTCGCGACTTGGTACGTGTCGGTAATAACAACAGAATACATTCTTAGTTATAAACGTACCTAATACCTACTTAGTTGTGATTTTAAAAGAGCAGTTTTATTATTAATTACTAGCTGTTACCCGGGGCGTTGCTGCCGCAGAAGATAATATAATTGTGGAAATATCGTTTTCGATTTGGAAGAGTTATATTGTTTAATTAGGAATGACAATACATTCATCGAAATTGAATGATATATAACTTTCAAACAAATTTGTCACTACGATACGCGCGGCACCTACTGTAAGTAAATTGTATAACTTTCGAGCTACCTGCATCCATCGACTTCCTGCATGTCTTACCGGGTCGTCACTCCATCTAGTGAGTGACCGCCCTACACTTCGCCTGCCGGTACGAGGCTGCCACTCGAGCACCTTTCTTCCCCATCGGTTGTCGGTTCTTCGTGCTATATGGCCGGCCCATTGCCACGTCAGCTTACTAATCTGTTGGGGTATATTGGTTATTCTGGTTCTACTGCGGATATCCTCATTTCTAACTTTATCACGCAGAGAAATCAAGAACTCTCTCCATAACTTGCTGATGTGACTGACGTCAAATAAATAAAATTAAACGCAGTTAAATTACGTAAAAATAGTTTCATTCAACGTGTAGTGTTCGCGTAAATATAAGAAATAATTATTAAACACTTACCTAATCCTAATATCTACTTAGTTGTAATTTGAAATGAACAGTGTTATTAATTACTAGCTGTTCCCCGCGACTTGACTCGCGTGTTAGGCTTTTATGTTTTTGCGCGGAACCCTAATTCTTTTTCTAAAATAAAAGTAGCCTCGGTGACTCCTTATGAAATCAGCTATCTGCCAGTGAAAGTCCTGTCAAAATCAGTCCAGCCGTTTCGGAGATTAACCGGAACAAACAAACAGACAGACAAACAAGCAGACAGACAGACAAAAATTTAAAAAATTGTATTTTAGTTATAAGTACCGTATTTACTTTCATATGCATTTAGTAAAAAACTGTAATTTTGACATTACAAACAGACACTTCAATTTTATTTATTTGTATAGATTATTTATTACATGTTCCTACTATAGAAATAATTCATTAGTGTTTGTGTTATGCAGGCGACCGGTTTTGAACGTTGCTATTAATTGTTACTATTTGTTGAACAACTTCATCCTTCATCTTCTATTATACACATATAGATACACATCAATAGCTGTCCGTCAGTCTCACAAAAACTCGAAAATGGCCGGACCTATTTTGATGAAATTTTTCTAAACCATTCACAATTGGACCCGGTAGGTGGCGCTGTTGTCGAGATCCAGAAATCACCCGAGCGAAGCCGGGGCGGATCGCTAGCTATTATTCCTTGTTGTTCTGACGCTTTCAGCAACAGTGAAATTCAAGGCCCGGTAATGTATTAACTAAGCACTCTGAGGGCCGTAGATTCGCATACTACGAAATCAGTATTCGTTTATTAGTACGAGGGTGGATTGAAAAGTACTCGGCCTAACACAGATCCATTCAATTCTAAAAATCAAATCTACCCACATTATTTAGTTCAGTTCAGACTAGTTCATTATGTGAAGTTTGAAACGTGTGCGATAATTAGTTGTGATTTTATAAATTTATTAACAAAGTAATCGGACATAATTTCCGCGAATGGAGCAAATCGAGCAGCGTGCCGTCATTAAGTACCTCCATAAGAAGGGGCTATCATCAAAAGCCATCCATGATGACATGGTCAGTACATTAGGCGATTGTGCTCTGTCATATTCATCCGTCAAAAAATGGATAGCAGAATTTAAGCGTGGTAGAGAGAGTGTGAAAGATGAACCACGCTCTAGAAGGCCTTCGACGTCAACTACTGACGAAAATATTAAAAAAGTACTTGATTTAATAATGGGAGACCGCAGATTAAAAATTAGAGAGATAGCCGAGATTATAGGCATCTCTTATGAACGAACTCAAAACATCATTGTCAACGAGTTGGGTTTCCACAAGGTGTCTGCGAGGTGGGTTCCGCGACTGCTTTCAGTTGAACAAAAAAGGACGCGATTGACTATTTCACGCGACTGTTTGGAGTTATTTGAAGCCGATGCAGATGATTTTTTGAATCGTTTTGTTACTATGGACAAAACATGGGTTCATTACTGTACACCGGAAACAAAACAACAATCAAAACAGTGGAGAAGACCTGGTTCACCACCCCCTAAAAAGGCTAAGTCGATTTTGTCGGCAAATAAGGTGATGGCTTCAGTATTCCGGGACTCGAAAGGTGTGATTATGATTGATTATCTTGAAAGGGGTCAGAATATAAACTCTGATTACTACTGCACCTTACTACGTCGTTTACGAGAGGAAATAAAAGAAAAACGTCGAGGAATGCTCAGAAGAAAAGTCCTGTTTCATCAAGATAATGCCCGTGTTCACACGTCAGTACAGTCAATGGCTGAAATTCACAACTGTGGCTTTGAAATGTTACCGCATCCGCCGTGTTCACCTGATCTGGCACCATCAAACTTCTTTCTGTTCCCTAACCTAAAAAAGCACTTGGGAGGTCAAAGATTTTCGACAAACGACGAGGTCAAAGCAGCTGTAGACGCATATTTTGACTCTAAGGAAGAATCATTTTTTTTCAACGGTCTAAATGCTTGGAAGGGGAGGTGGCAAAAGTGTATTGAACTTGATGGTGATTATGTAGAAAAATAAAAATATAACTGATTTAGTATGTGTTTATTTTCTTGGTTAGGCCGAGTACTTTTCAATCCACCCTCGTAAAATAATAAAGTTATAGACTATTTATTACCAGGATGGAGTGAAAAAATGTTTTTTGATATACCCGAAAAAAGCTGTGTGATGGCTGAATAAATGAAAATGCGAAAATATTTTTTATCTAGGTTTATATGTAGAGTTGCCCCGGATAGAACAGTTTTCTTAAAAAGTCCGAAACTTGTTAATGTTCGTTAATGCAAAACTTTTAAAAAAATCTTTGAATTGTTCTTCTGTATTTTCTGAACACATTCAATCATTAGTAAGCGTCAATTTACACAGTCAACCTTTCAGTCTAAAATATAAATATTATAATCTATGTTTCAGTCACCAGTAAGCCTTTTAAAAATACAAAACACTATCCAATAAAATTATTAGGGCTTTTTTTTTCAAAATTCTTTCATGCTGGGGCACCTTTATGTCACTCATAAATCAAATCACTAATAAAAAAAACTAGATACACAATCAGTGACAAAAAATCGTCTTATCGAATGAGCGCCCACTCGAACATTTGGGTGCGCTTTTAATCTGTACGTAGCTTTGTGACTACAACTTTAGGTAACGCATTTAAGATTGAATTTACATTAATGTATATTTATTTCAATTACAATTACGTCAAAACAATTGGCGACAGTTTTTAGAGAACCTTTGCATGGGATTGTGTATTTGTGTATCTAGTTTTTTGTTTTTATTAGTATTCGATGATTATAATACATAAAAGATATTTAACATACTTCATTGTCTCATCCATGGGCAGCTTTTTACCACTATGCTATTACAAATTTAACGAAAAAATAAATCTCCATACATTTTCACTCCACCCTACTCTATACGTCTCACACCTGAGAACAGGCCTCCACTCGATTATCAGGGTAAGGAACTACGCATTCTGGGCGGATACGCAGCGCCAGTTGTCAATAACTTCACTGTATTGGAAACTACCAAATCACGCCAGGTTTTAACAGTTTGGTCCATATTACCTCACAATGTAAGTTATATTTTGACAGAAAGCTCAAAAATTCCTAAAGTTATTGTTTTGTCTTCACCAGGTAACGCTGTGGTGTTTCGTGCTGTATCTGACGTGGCACGTGCCCTTTATCGAGATGAGGGTAGACGACTTGGAGCAGCCTGCACTCAAGTACAGAGAGGTATGCTGAATACAACTCTACTTATGAAAACTGAAAATGTCAGTACGTCAAAATAGTTAGCAAGAAGTCGCTCTTCTTTCTTCTTTATCATCGGCCCATAAAAGCTGTGAAGTTACCGTCATGAGCCTCTCGCGCTGTAGATGGGATTTGCCTTAATCATCAAGTTTGGCAGACGGATTTTAGGTGGTAGAGCCATGCTGCAGCCATATTACTGGTATAGTTGTAGCACGAATGGGTCGGCTCGAAACGTCGGGAATGTGAAATCTAAATATATAGGTATATAAGTGAAAAACTATTGACTCACCCACTCATCACGAGACCCCCAAATCAACTCCCGAAAACTCCCGATTGACTTGAAATTTGGCACACTTACTCCTTTCTCGAGCTAGACACCGTCTAAGGAAGGATTTTAGAAACTTCAACCCCTGACGGGATGAAATAGGGTACACTACAGCTTTTAAGTGAATATACGCAATAAAATCCGCAAAAACTAGTTTCATTTAAACACGTAAAGAAAGCTTAAATAATAACGTAATATATTATCACCTAACAGCAGCCACCGGCGTCAACAGAGAAGCCGGAGCCGCCGAAGCAGGAGCTGAAGCACGGCAAGTGTTTCCACATGCCGCGCTCTCGTTGTCCACCAGAGGGCGTCAAGTGCACACGCGTCGACCCAGTCTCCGTGTTCTGTTGCGATGTTGACAGCTTCCGCCTCAAGGAGGCACTCGCGATTGTTAGTGAGTGGATTTTAAAAACGTTCAGTGTTTCTTTCTTTATGAAAAAAAAAAATACCTTACGATTTCTTATATAAACTTTTTAATTCCTGACGTTCTATAAAAAAACCCGCGTAAAAGAACATATAGCTGACGTGAAGCAATGACGCTCCGGGTAGTCTGCAGTCTGTGAACATGTTCAGGATCGTCCCCGCCATTACATCAGATATGGTAGATCAAAAGAGCATGTGGGCCTCTCTTGCTGTAGGGAGGTTTGTCTTAATCATCACGCTTGGCAGGTGGTCCCGATCGCGGTACCAGATATCTTACAACTATAACGCTGCTGTCCGTCACTGGTCTGGTATTTTACATCTGGCGTAAAAGTAACAGCCTATATATGTGTGCCACAGCTGGACAGAGGCCTCCTCTCATTTCATAGAGAGTTTTGAAAATATCCGCCACGATGCCTCAAAAGTACAACCGAACTAGACTATATCTTTCTTTTTGTATGAGCTGGGGCAAACGACCATACGACTCACCTGACGGTAAGAGACTACCGCCGCCCATGAGTGACTACCGCCGCTCATGAGTGACTACCGCCGCTCATGAGTAACTACCGCCGCCCATGAGTAACTACCGCCGCTCATAAGTGACTACCGCCGCCCATGAGTGACTACCACCGCCCATGAGTGACTACCGCCCCTCATGAGTGACTATCGCCGTCCTTGAGTGACTACCGCCGCCCATGAGTGACTACCACCGCTTATGAGTGACTACCGCCCCTCATGAGTGACTACCGCCGTCCTTGAGTGACTACCGCCGCCCATAAGTGACTACCGCCGCCCATGAGTGACTACCACCGCTTATGAGTGACTACCGTCACCCATGAGTGACTTCTGCCGCTCATGAGTGACTACCGCCACCCATGAGTGACTACCGCCTCCCATGAGTGATTACCGCCGCCCATGAGTGACTAGAGTAATATTATTCGTTTAATCTATTAAACAGAATTTTCTAATACCTAGTCTTAGAGAAAAATTGCACAAAAATATCATTGTTTACCACCATCATCATCATTACAGCCCTTCACAAGTCCACTGCTGAACATAGGCCTCCCCCAAAGAATGCCACAAAGCACGGTCCTGAGCCACCTGCATCCATCGACTTCCTGCATGTCTTACCAGGTCGTCACTCCATCTCGTGGGGGGACGCCCTACACTTCGCCTACCGGTACGAGGCTGCCACTCGAGAATTGTTTACCACGGAATATTAAAAAGTCTAATGTTAAGATTTTTTTTTTAATAATATTATTACTACTAATTGAGATAAAATTTGAGTGACTCTCGCTAAATCTATCGTGATTATTGTTTTGCATCCAAATCTATATAAACAAAGAATCTAGTCTTGACCTTCAAATATGTGTCCATTGTGAATTGTTCCATAGAAATACAATAAATATGTCCGGAATAACTCATTGTTCCTCAACTTGTCCAAAAGACAATGGATACTTTGTATGTAATAAATTATGTTCACCAACAAGGATAACCTTAAACCTTAATACTTACAAGAAAACTAATTTATACATATTATTTTTGGTCGTTTTTGACGGCTCTTTAGGCATTTAGAGGTAGCCCTGCAGACTGCAGACTTAAATATGTCTGTTTGGGATACATTTTAATGTTTTCAAGAGCAATTCCTAGTGTGGAAGATAACATTTCTGCACGAGTTTATTGTTTTTGAACAATTTAAAATTAAAAATTTTGTACAACAGACTTCAATATAAATTATTAAGAATAAATCAAAAACTATTAGTCAGACCTTGATTAAATTTATATGGGACCACACGAGAAGCACCAGCTTTCAAATAAAAAAAATAATCATCGAAATCGGTTCTCCTAAAAAAAAGTTATGAACACATAAAAAAATATACATTCGAATTGAGTACCGTGTTCTTTTTGAAGTCGGTAGAAAAAAGAACGTTACCTCCACACTAAAATTTTTCTTCTGTATAGTGGAAGCAGTTTGCATAATATATAAATTTCATAAGGACCAACAACTAGACCCTTAACAATAATTTGTAGGACATACAAATACTTGCTCCGTGCGGGATTCGAACCCGCGGCCCTTAGCGCTGTAACTCATTGCTAAGCCACTGCGGAACGAAGCCGTCAACACGGAGTGTGTGCAAACACAGGTGCACTCTCTACGTCTTTTATCTCACTTTATGTTATAGTGCTCGGACGGCAATACGCCACGACCGGAGAAAGATCACGCATAATACCGACGATTTTGCGTGCTTTCCCAGGCACGGGGTTTAGACACCGCCAACTTGAATTTCTTGGCAGAGAAAATCAATAAATAATTTTGGCCTGCTCCGGAATCGAATCCGACTGCAAACAAGTAAAAAAGTTACAAGTTTTATACATGATAGAGCCACGTTGCAGCTATATTATGGTTGAAGCAGGAATAGGTCGGCTCGAACAGGGAAGTACCACGCTCTCACAGAATACAAGCGTAAAATAGCAGCATAATGCTGCTGTGTTTCGTATGGTGAGTATGGAGAACCGGAGACGCTTTTCGCTGGAAACGAGGCATTCCATCTTAGTCAGGGGTGACAACACATCTCATTCTCTCATCAGTTTGATTCTTAATTGAGGATAAATTATCTATGAGCCAGAACATTCACTTACCATCAGGTGGACTGTGTATTCGTTTGTCACCCTTATTCTATAGAAAAATCTTCAACTTTTTGATCCGCCCTATGTCGGTTACTCTGGTTCTACTGCGGATATCTTCATTACAAATAGTATCACGCATATGTGATCTATCTATCGTAATATAAACTGATTAAGAATTATTTTATTTTATTCTTCTGTCCAGTGACTCAGAACACCACGAACCTTCATGTGTTGAACGCGAACATCGAGGAGCTGGACGTCTCGCAGGCGGTGTTCCGGCGGCTCTCCTCCATGGCCTTTACCGATGGCAACATTGGAAAGATTGTCGGTAAGCAATGCATTACAAAGGTTAAATGCAAAAAAGAAATATACCTACGTTTTTTTTATAGAAGTAGGATGATAAAAGAGCACACAGTCCACCTGATGGTAAGTGGTTGCTGTGACCCATAGACATCTACATATTATATCCTCAATAAAGAATCAAAATGCAGATGTGTTATCACACGTGACGACTAAGATGGGATGCCTCTTTTCCAGTAAAAGGGGACTCCGGTTCTCTACACTCACCATACGAAACATAGCAGTGTTTAGCTGCTATTTTACGCTGGTATTCTGTGAGAGCGTGGTCCTTCCCCGGTCGAGCCGACCCATTCGTGCTACAACTATACCAGTAATATAGCTGCAGCATGGCTCTACCACGTATAAATATAAACCTACGTAATTGATAATTTCAAATTACTTACTTATTAAGAATTAATGTTCATGAAATGTTCACGAGTGGCAGCCTCGTACCGGTAATCGAAGCGTAGGGCATCTCCCCCCCCCCCTCCCCCCACTAGATGGAGTGATGACCCAAAAGAGAGCCAGTATAATATCATAGTGTGGGGATTTCATCTTGGTCTTCAGGGTGACTGCATAGCTGTACCGTTTTTTTATTTAAGTCCGCTTGACCGTTAAGGATCTCGCTCTCGCAGAATTCCACCGTAAAATAGTAGCTTATGGTATTTACGAGTGTAGATAACCAGTGACCCTTTTTACTGTAAATAAGGCATTCCATTTTAGTCCACATGGGTTATAACACATCTACATTTTGATTCTTAATCCAAGATAGAATCGATGTCTTTGGGCCACAGCATCCACTTAATAGCAGGTAGAGTATAAGTTGTTTTTACTGCAATATCATTAACAAAACACAAGAAATTAATTAGTCCAAATGACTTCATTGAAGATTGATTAGAACTAATAATTATAATGCTTTTTGCTCTGTCATGCTCAAGCCGAGGATGTAGTTCTAGAAGAGAAAAGAAACAATGCCAGCAGTAAGTAAGCAGTTATATCGCATTTTATGTTTTAGCTACGTTATGTAAAATATTTTGTAGGAACACAAGACTGTATATTGTGTATGAAACGTTTTATTTTTAGCGTCTGCAAATAAACCTAAAAGCTATTATAGTATAATTTTAAAACAACCTTCTACGGTCTTGAAGGCAGGAATAGACAGAGAGAGAGAGAGAGAGAGAGAGAGATAGAAGGAAAGGAGAAAGAACAAGAAGAACAAGGAAAGTGAGTGTCTTGCTGGACCTAGACATGAGCCTCTTGCTTTGTAGGGAGGATGAATTGGTACGACTCATTTTCTACTTATGGAGTCAGTCTGGGTAGATACAATGTAGAGTTGCATGGGCTGCAGTAACAACTTACCATTAGTTTTCAATACGTTTTTTTTTGCACCTTATTGTGTAAAGAGTGAGTGAATTTGAAAATTTTCCTAATATTTGTAAATTTCGTAGGGCATGTAAGGATAACAGTTAAAAAGGAACGAAAGTTAATATGAAAGGTAAAGGAAGTATAGTAATAATGTAGGTACGAAAGAGAAAGATAGAATGAAGTAATTAAAAGTGTATGCAAGCGAGATAGATTGTTGTATAATGTAAGTAAGTTGAAAAGAGAGAATAGATTATTATGTGTAATGTCGAAAAGTGTTTTATTTTGATTCTACAATTGTTTCCTTTCATTGAATGAATGAAAATGAAAAAAAAATGATCTTTTAGTTCTTCGGTATCTTTGTACTCATTCTTCATGAATCACGTTCGTTCTCCAGGTCAGTTCCCGAAGCACTCCCCGATCGCGTGCCTCAACATCTCTAACAACAACCTAACAAGCGCTAAGCTACAGCCTCCAATACAGCGTCCGTACGCCTACCTGTTCAACCTCACGATGCTGGACGCCTCCGCTAACAACCTTACCGAGTTCCCGCTCAGCCTCGTGCACAGCAACCGCAAGATCTCCGTTGACTTCTCTGGTGAGTGGTACCTATTTTCTTCCACCAAGGTGTAGTTAGTACAGGAGAAGAGAAGAAACCGAGGTAATTCAATCAGTAGGAAGTGGAAATGGGCCTGCCATATACTCGTAGCTCGAGGAACCGTCAAAAGATAAGGAAGAAAGGTTCTTGAGTGGTAGCCTCTTACCCGTAAGATTTCTAGATGAAGTGACGTCTTGGTAAAACATGTAGGAAGTAGATGGATGCAAGTGTCATCCTATGTAGAGACCTATGTAGAGGACTTGTGAAGGGAATAATATTGATGATGATAAAGATGCAATCACTATGTTATTGACATCGATCTTGGGTCATTGTAACCTCCTGATGGAATATCTATAAAAACGTACAGGGCTCAGGGCACTCGTCTTAAAATTTTACAGTAATCCAGCGTACCGCGCTTAATCACTCACGTCGCCACTAAAATTGTTTGTCGTATCTCTAATTTACAGTATGTTGTTTTATTCAATAGGATTTTTAACAAATATATCAAGCATTAATAAATGTTAATCAAACAGCCTTTATACGTCACACAGCAGGGCACAGGCCTCAACTATAATTGCTATAGAGGTACCTAAAAAGGTATAAAATTCCCGCGGAAAAAGGTTCATATAGGCTCCCGTTGCGGCGCTAGTAGTATATACTCAGATACGCGTTTCACTTTTTTGTATGGAGATACCATTTTTCTCTCGGTAGAGAGTAATTATGTTCCGTGACCCTGACCTAGTATTTGTTTGATTTTTTTTTATAGGATAGGGTGACAAACAAGCACACAGTCCACCTGATGGTAAGTGGTTTCTGTGAGCCATAGACATTACATCTATCTTCAATAAAGAATCAAAATGCAGATGGATAGTTCTTCAAAATATGCGATTTTATCGGTGTCATCTTAATTTAAGGTATAACAAGGAAAAAAACATAAAAAATTGGTCCTACGCTCAATAAAATAGTTTCGTATTATTAAATATATTTATCCAGATTTAAAAAAAATAATTTCCTAATCAACATCCATCGGAGTATTAATCAAAACAATAGAAAAACGAATAATATAGAATATCAGAACAGTAATTTTAATATTAATAGTTTTAAGAATAGAAACTTATGAAATCCTATTTTGGTAAAATTTTAAACAATACTGAGGGCTAATAATTTTCTGCCCCCCAAATGTCGCTAGTTGGTAGGTTTTTTAGGTGAAGTTTTTTGTTACACAATTTAATTTAATTTTGATAAAGGTTTTTAATAAAATTTTATCAGTTTCTAGAGTACACAAAACAATCCGTCAGTTTAATTTTTTGCACATATTTAACTTTTTTTTTAATTTTTCTACTTTTTTGAATATCTGTGTTTTGGTTTATTTATTTTTAATCTTATTAATATAAAATATAGCTAGTAGATCAGAAAGAAACAATAACTTTTACATTTTCCGAACAAATTAACTTCCCCGCTATGAAATCTGTCAAATATTATACTTCACTTTCTAGTGGCGCCGCCCTAGTGGCAGAAAATGTCGTGGATGCCCTCATTAACATTCCTTATCATAGGTATACTGCCACACTTTACTTTCGTAAGTATCGGTCTACATGTAACAAACATATACCTATTATATTTATAATAGTTATCTATTAATCTAAATCACAAATGTGATTAATCTAAATAACTTACTGACTAAATAACAAATTAAGGAATTAAATATCCATTATGATTATATTAATCACACTTTCAAACATAATTATGTTAGAAGTTAGAACCTTGATTAAACAAATCAAAATAATGTAAATTAATTTAAAAAAAAAGTATCCATTGTCATAATTTTGAAAACCCTGAAACTACTATTTGGAATAAAATGTAGCTACAGTCTTCACTATTACATATTTTGTAACGAACATTCAATGGCAGTTCGTGGCCGTTACTATCCTCAGGATCACTCATTACGGGTACGAAATCTATACATTCGTACAAGTCTAAATCGCCGCGGAATAATCTAATGATATTAATAATTTGGGGATATAAATTCGAACGATTCTCTTCGGGTACTCTTTCTAAATCGAACGCTATCAATCGAGCTAAATTTTCATTTCTTACATCAGCTCTCCAAACGTTGTCTGTGTGCTAAATTCTTTTGTAACTTTGTCAACATCTATTTTAGCATTGTTTTTATATAGCTTTGTGAAAGTAAACCCTGTAAGAATTGATGGTGATTTTGGTTGTTTTTAGCCATGCGTTTCTCTTACCTATTACATACAAAAACAAAACATACTATAAAATACAAAATAATGTTAGTAAATATACAATAATTATATGGATGTATTCAGACAGTATAATTATCTTACCTAGTCTTTGACAATATTATCTTCAACTGTCATTAATCTTTGAATAAATTCATCATTATTTATATTTTATCGTTTAACAAATCATTTAAAAATGAATTCGTTGGTGTTTCTATAAAACTAGTATCTTCCTAATCAAATTTATTAAGAGTTTGTAAAGTTTTCAGTTCTACTATTTTGTTATTATCATAAACGTTCTTCATTTTACTAGTTGACGGCTGACGATTCTTTTTTTTTTTGAGTATTATGCTGCTAGGAGTTTCTATCACCATACATTTTTTACTTAATTTCTGTTTTAAGTTTCTTCTATTTATCATATCGCTCTGATTTTCTTTATTGCTTTCATATGTAAATGATAATGAATTTCAAAAAACTTAAATGTTTATCATGGATGCAAGGATATCGGATAGAATAGAATAGAATAGAATAGAATGATTTTTATTCAATATGGATTATTACATAATACTTATTGAAAGTCATTATTTTATTTACCACTGGTTCGGAAAATACCTCTGGCCTGGGAAGAACCAGCAAGAAACCCAGCGGGACTTTTTTTTTAAACATAATTTCACTTAACAATAATTTTGTTTATACAATTTTAAATGATTTTTCATAGAACCAGCATGGTGGCGATCACCTTATTCCCAGGGGTTATTTTCATTCATGTATTCCTTGATATTATAATAACCCTTTTTGTACAGTTTTTCTTTAATAAAACTTTTAAACTTGTTTATTGACAAACTTTGAACATGTTCTGGGATTCTGTTGTAAAAGCGTATACATTGCCCCATAAATGAATTACTAATTCTGTGGAGTCTTGTAAGTGGCATTACAAGCTTATGTTTGTTCCTAGTGTTTAAGGTATGAACATCCTTATTCTTATTAAAGCTATTTATGTTTTTATGTACATACATTACATTTTCATAAATATATTGCGATGCCAAAGTTAATATGTTTATTTCTTTAAATTTTTCTCTAAGGGACTCTTTACAATTTAGATTATAAATCGCCCGTACGGCTCTCTTTTGCAAAACAAATATAGCTTCAATATCAGTCGCATTACCCCATAGCAAAATTCCATAAGACATTACGCTATGAAAGTAACTAAAATACACTAACCTAGCTGTCTCAACATCTGTGAGACTTCTAATCTTTCTTACAGCATATGCTGCAGAACTAAGTCTGCTTGCTAATTTAGATATATGGGGGCCCCATTGAAGTTTCGCGTCAATAGTAATACCGAGAAAAACAGTGGTATCCACAAGACTCAACTCCTCCCCATTTAAGAGCACATTGGTTTTCGAATGTTTTACATTAGGTATTGTAAATTTAATACATTTTGTCTTATTGCCGTTTAAGAGCAAATTGTTGGCGTTAAACCAATGTACTAGTTTCGATAGAGCATTATTTACATCGTCATATTTAATTAACTGCCGTTTCAGTTTGAAAATTAAAGAGGTATCGTCAGCAAATAATACTATATCGTGATTGTCCCCTACAAGATAAGGTAAGTCATTAATATAGATTAAGAACAGGAATGGGCCAAGAATCGAGCCCTGAGGAACGCCCATTGATACTACTGATCCGGAGGAACATTTACCATTAATGACGACTTTTTGAGTTCTGTTACTTAAATATGAAGTAATAAGTTTAAGCGCCAAATTTTTTACACCGTAATGTTGTAGTTTCCTGATTAATGTATCATGATGAACACAATCGAAAGCCTTGGAAAGGTCACAGAAAATACCTAAGGCATCTTGAGAATTCTCCCAGGCATTAAAAATATATTTCATAAGCTCAACACCGGCGTCAGACGTCGAGCGACCCCTTGTAAAACCAAATTGATTTTTATGAAGTAATTTATTTGTATTAAAAAAAATTAACAATTGATCCAAAATTATTTTTTCAAAAATTTTACTGAGAGTTGGTAGTACAGAAATAGGTCTATAATTAGCGGGGTCCAATGTACTACCAGATTTAAATAAAGGTATTACTTTACTATACTTCATTAAATCAGGAAACACACCAGAATCGATACAAGTATTAAAAATAATAGCAAGATGAGGTGCAATTAAATCTATTATGGACGCAATCACTGTAACGGAAATCCCCCACAAATCTGCGGTTTTCTTTACATCAATGGTTTTGAAGTATTTTACAATATTATGCGGTAATACTTTTTCAAATCTAAATTATTTTAAACAGGTATTAACATTCTGTTTAAGTAATGATTCGGCGACAGTTGGAGAAGCATTCAATGACTCTGTTGTCAAGATAGGAACATCAGTGAAATATTTCTCAAACACCGCTGCAACTTCTTGATTTGATTTAGTCAATTCATTATTAATTTTTAATTGATAGTTTGAATTACGAGGTTTCTCTTTACCGGTTTCGCTGTTAATTATACTCCACGTCATTTTAATTTTATTCTTAGCTGTCTTAATTTTGTTACTAATATGTAATGATTTGGCTGTGGAGCAAACTCTTTTAAACATTTTAGAATAATTTTTTACATATTCTTTAAAAGCATCGGAAAGATTATACGATCTTTCATGGTAAAGGTCATATAACCTTCGTCTGCTTTTATGAATTCCTACTGTCGCCCACTCATTAAATGCCTTGCGACTGTTTCTGGAGAATGTTTTAGAAGTGAATGTT